GCTGCTCTGGGGCTGCGCGCTGGCGCTGCAGGGCGGGATGCTGTACCCCCGGGAGAGCCCGTCGCGGGAGCGCAAGGAGCTCGACGGCCTCTGGAGCTTCCGCGCCGACTTCTCCGACAACCGGCGCCAGGGCTTCGAGCAGCAGTGGTACCGCACGCCGCTGCGGGAGGTGCGGGCTCCGTGGGACGGGGCGTGGGGCCTGGGCAGGGAAGCTCCTAGAAGCTAGGTGGTGGGCGTGGGGAGCTACTCCTGTGCCCTCAGAGCTGCCGGCGAGGAGGAGGTTAACGATGAATGGGCTTGGAGGCTGGGGCCGGCCGACCGAGGAGGAAATGCGCGGAGGGCCAGGGCCTGGCGTCTGTGGGGCCGAGGGGAGGGACCCCCGCTGGACCCCCGCGCAGCGCGAGAGGCCAAGCCAGAGCAGTGCCCGAGCGGCCGGGCAGCAGGAGCCGAGGCTTTGACATTTTGGGGCCGGCTCTGCCCTGGCAGGAAGGACCTGAGGTTGCCAGGCTCAGGTGGAGGATGGGGCTTGGCACCCAGCCAGCCAGGGGCCCCACTCCAGGTCTCCCCTCTGACTTGAGTCAGATCGGCTGAGAAGGCCTGGGGCTGGAGCAGGCCTGTGTGCCCATCCGGTACTCGCCTCTCTTAGATCCTCTTTTTTTGATCTTTGCCGCTCAGCCTTAAGCAAGGGAGGAAAAAAGGGGGGGCTGGGTGCCAGGCGTGTGCCCCACTCACAGTTTCCTCAGCAAAGCAGCATCTGCCCCTGCCAGCCTTCCTCCCTGGGGCTGTCATCTGATCATCTTCCTCTTAGACAGTCTGGTCTCTGCGGATCCTTTTGGCCTCAAGCTGGGTTGTGGCCCTGGGCTCAGGCCTTTCCATGGAGCCTCTGGTTCCGTCTGCCCTGAGAAAGAACTTCTGGCCCCACCCGCCCTCAGACACAAACACACGTCCTAGCAGTTGGTCTCTCATCAGCAAGTTGTCTGTCCATTCAACCAATATTTATCGAGTCCCTACTATATGGCAAAGCTTGTGCCAGACACTGGGGATACAGCTGTGAAGGACAGAGGCAACCCCTGCCTCCTTGGAGGTCACAGGTCATGCCTACAAGATGTCTTCAGGAAGCTCTTCCCCACACTGCTTCTACACTCACTGAGCTATCTGCCCCGCCCCTGCCTTGCCTTCTCCCTGATGGGTTCAAGGGTCTAGAGGTTCAAGGGATTCCCCGCAGGGCTCAGGGTCACCCAGTTCTGCAAGGATGTCCAGAGGCAATATCCTGTGGGCCCTGGCCCCAAAGGTGTTCCCTGACCCCTAAGATGGTCCCCTGCCACTCTCGACACACCCTGACCCGCATTATTTTCTTCGTAGCACTGATCGCCTGACCGCAGAGGCCTTGTTCACAGTTTTATTCCTAGCACCTAGAACAGTGTTGTAGGTGTTCAGTGTACACTGTCAATTGAAGGAGTGAGTGACTGGTGTGTTCTGTGTGGAGTTATGAGATTTAAATGAGCTCCATAAAAGACATTGGTCAGTTGCTGGCAAAGAATAACAATGGTGGGTGGCCGGGAATCCCAGAGTCTGGGAGAAGTCGTCTTGTCCAGCCTTCTTCCTGCAGGCAGGGTTGCTGGGGGACCTGGCCCTTGGGGCAGGGGGTTGCCTGGGCCCTGGTCTTCGATTCCTAGGTGGTCTGGACCTGATCCCGGCCCTTCTTTCCCCAGTCGGGCCCCATCCTGGACATGCCGGTTCCCTCCAGCTTCAATGATGTCGGCCAGGATGGGCGGCTGCGTAGCTTTGTTGGCTGGGTGTGGTATGAACGGGAGGCGACCCTGCCCCAGCGATGGACCCAGGACCTGGGCACAAGAGTGGTGCTGAGGATTGGCAGTGCCCACTACTACGCCATTGTGGTCAGTGCAGCAAGCAGCAGGCAGGGCGAGTGGGCAGGTGCGGCTGCTGAGCACGCACGCAGCTGCCTGGGGGTGCCTGGCTCCCAGCTGTCACCTGACAGCATGCCTCCTGGGGTGGATGGTAGAGCATGCTCATGCCCTATACTGCGGTCTATGCCCTGGGTGGGGGTGGGTTGCCTAATCTGCTCCTTTGGGGCTCCATTCCTCCATTCCTAGGAAGGTGGCAGCTGGCAGGGCCTCAGCCCCCACATACTGCACCTCTATGTGAGGGAGTGCCTGAGATGGCAGGGCCCCCGCCTCATGCTCTGCCTGCTGCCCCTCCCCTTATCTCCTTGTCTGCAGTGGGTGAATGGGGTCCATGTGGCAGAGCATGAGGGGGGCCATCTCCCCTTCGAGGCTGACATCAGCAAGCTGGTCCAGAGTGGGCCCCTGTCCTCCTGCCGCATTACCATCGCCATCAACAACACGCTCACCCCCCACACCCTGCCACCAGGGACCATCCTCTACCAGACGGACACCTCCAAGTGAGCAGCACCTGCTCCCTCCTCTCCCCCTCCCCACCCTGCCCAGTGGTCTTCCCACTAGGGGCAGATCGCCTTAGCAGAGTTGAGGTTGAAGGCCCCAGAGCAAGGCCCCAGTTTTCCACTGTCCTTCCGCCCTAGGTACCCCAAGGGTTACTTTGTCCAGAACACACACTTTGACTTCTTCAACTACGCGGGACTGCATCGGCCCGTGCTCCTCTACACCACGCCCACCACCTACATTGACGACATCACTGTCACCACCGATGTGGACCAAGACACTGGTGAGGGCTCCTGGCAGGATCCGCCTCGGCCAGGCCCAAAGTGGCTCTGTTCCCTGTTTGGAAAGATCCCCCAGGAGAAAGGCTCTCCCAGCATCTCTTAATCCTCACACGTTCCCATCCCACCTACGAAGCTAAAATCCAGCCTGTCCGAGCTGGCAAAGGCTTCAGAAATACCCATGTGGTCTAACCTCATTTTTTGAGGAAATAAGGCCCAGTGAGAAGTGGGGCTTGCTTAAAATCACATGGTTCAGGATGAATAGCTCAGGATTCATGGGAATCCCATGTCCCGTCCCCGTTGTACCACCCTCATTTAATCTCTCCTCTCTGCAGATTGAGCTCAAGAAATAAATGGTTGTTGGTGGAGTCTCAGGGCCTAAGCGGACTCCTCAGAGTGGTGGCTGCAGCGTGCTCTCCTCTGTACAACCCAGGTTGTTTCCCTTCCTCCTCTCTCTTGTCTGATCTCTCTTGTCTCTTGCAGGGCTGGTGAGTTACCAGATTTTCGTCCAGGGCAGTGAACACTTCCAGCTGGAAGTGCGTCTTCTGGATGAGGAAGGCAAAGTCGTGGCTCAGGGGACAGGGGGCCGGGGCCAGCTGCAGGTGCCCGGTGCCCACCTCTGGTGGCCGTACCTGATGCATGAGCACCCTGCCTACCTGTACTCGTTGGAGGTAATGGTGGTTAGGACTGGGGCTATGGGAGGCATTTTGCCCCCATCCAGCAGCCCTGCCTGGCTTCAGCAGGGGTGCAGGACAGGTGGACAGGCAGGCATGGTCCTCTGAGCTTCCTAGTCAATTGGATTGACATGTTCCCAGCCCGATTTTTTCAACCCTTGATAGGGAGGTCCAGCGTTGAAGAGCAGGCCCCAGGGGCGGAGTGGGCAAAGATTTCTTCTTGCTAATGGTGGAAGCCTGTAATTTCTGCGTCTCTCTGCTTACAGTCCCACAGGCAGGCCGCTGTGGTTTATGAGGGGCCTTCCTGCTGAAGGGCGGGCTGCATGGGGCTCAGGCCATCAAGGAGGCCTCACACCCAGTGCTTGGCTTTCATAGGTGAGTCTGACTGCACAGACAGCAGCTGGGCCTGTGTCTGACTTCTACACTCTCCCCGTGGGGATTCGCACGGTGGCTGTCACAGAGAAGCAGTTCCTCATCAACGGGAAGCCTTTTTATTTCCATGGGGTCAACAAGCATGAGGATGCCGACGTGAGTTGAGACTCCTGGGTCCCTGTGGGGGCCGTTTCTCATCTTTGCCTTCCCCATTCTCCCTGAAGTGGTTGAGGGCAGCTCAAGGCAGTTGAGCAAACTGCTCAAAACCACTGTCTGGGGGCCAGCCTGGTGGCGCAGCGGTTAAGTGTGTATGCTCCGCTTCGGCGGCCCGGGGTTCGCAGGTTTGGATCCCGGGTGCGCACTGAGGAACCTCTTGTCAAGCCGTGCTGTGGTGGTGTCCCATATAAAGTAGAAGAAGAGGGGCATGGATGTTAGCCCAGCGCCAGTCTTTCTCAGCAAAAAACAAAAAAAAGCGAGGAGGCTTGGCATCGGGTGTTAGCTCACGGCTGATCTTCCTCACCAAAAAAAAAAAAAAAGCCACTGCCTGATGGGGCGTGTGCTTGGGCTGGATAGAGGGCGAATGGGGTTATTCCTGAGGGTCCAGCTCTAGAAGGAAGTGCATCTTGGACAGGGACAGAGGACATGGGGTCACTCTCCTCTGCTGTCCCCTAGATCCGAGGGAAGGGCTTTGACTGGGCACTGCTGGTGAAGGACTTCAACCTGCTTCGCTGGCTTGGTGCCAACTCCCTCCGCACCAGCCACTACCCCTACGCGGAGGAGACGATGCAGCTCTGCGACCGCTACGGGATCGTGGTCATTGACGAGAGCCCGGGCGTGGGCATCGTGCTAGTGTGAGTGCCCACCTCCCACGCTGCTGAGCCTGCGCAGCTTGCGCGGCAATGACCCGCTCCCTTCCCCCCCCCGCCCCACAGGCAGAGCTACAGCAACGTGTCTCTGCAGCACCACCTGGTGGTGATGGAGGAGCTGGTGCGCAGGGACAAGAATCACCCAGCGGTTGTGATGTGGTCTGTGGCCAATGAGCCCGCTTCCGTCCTGAAACCTGCCGCTTACTACTTCAAGTGAGTGCCCCCGCCTGCCCCGGCTGGGCCGGGCATGAGACCTCAGCCCTTTGGCCTGGGCAGCCTTGGCTTGGCAGCCCTGGGAGAGCTGAGGTTGGCCCTGGTGTGGGCATGTGCTGTGAGAGAGTCAGCATCCGCCCCCAGCCCAGACTGACCATATGCTTGGTCAGTTCAGGGGACCAAACACCTACCCACCCAAATTGTGATTTCAACCCAGTGAGGCCCAGTGTCCCCTTTTCACACCTGAAATGAAATCCGCAGTTAATCTAACCTACTTATACACGTAACTTCAAATTAAAAAAACAAAAATAGTAGCATGGCCTAACTGTGATATAAGGGAGAGTTGTTTATAAAATAATACATGAATCATGGGCCTGACTCCCCAGAAGAGCCAGTGAAGGGGTCAGATGCTTGCACCTCCGTGTGGAATACCCTGGACGCACAGCTACAGAAGCTGATGGCAGGGCTGCCTTGGTGGTGACTCTGACACCATAGGCGGCATTTCCTTCCAGGCTGCACATTTCTAAAATAGTAAAGTTCCAAACAAAACCAAGTATAATCTTCCCTCACTTTTTATGGTGTCTCCATTCCTGGGAAATTTAGTGTGTGTTAAAAACTCCAAAAAACTTTGTGATGCTTCGGTTTCATCTGTAAAGGAGTTAGGCTTTATAAAACCAGCTTCTCTAGGCACATAATTATAAACAGGTTTTTAATGACATGCATATTCCAACTATTCTAAAGTTACATTGTTGACAGGACCAGGCCATCTAAAGTTCATGGTCCCCTTCACTAAATGCGGATAGCTCCTCCTTTCCTGCTCCCCCCCATTGCAATGGACAGAAACACCACTTGGGGGCAGTCTTCCCACAACGGGAGGGTTCACTCTGAGAGAGGCTGGCCACCCGGGTGTTCTGTGTTTCCTCCTCCTACAGTTGTGCAGTTGTGGCTTAGCCTGCAGAGGGGAGTTATTTCACTTGCTGCAGAGGCTGCAGAGGCCACTGAAACACTCCCGAGGCAGGCACTGCATCCAGTTTCATGGAGTGCTTTGAGCTGAGCCCCGTCTGTAGAGGACGGAAGGCTCTGGGGAGTGACCCACCTGGGCAAAGGACAGCTCTGAACACGTGGCCCGGAGTGTGTGGGGCACAGGGTGTGTTGAGCCGGGACTGGGACAGAATTTTTGGTGTGAGGGTGAAAGGAGTGTATAGAGGCTCCCAGGACCAAGGTTCCAGATGGGCTTTTTGGGGAGGTGGAGACAGGGAGATGCATGATTTTTGGAGCAGCAGGGATGGGGGCAGGGTATGGAGAGAACTGCCCAGGCCGAGGAGCTCAGCTTGGCTGTGAGGCTTCCCATTTGACAAACAGGCTGTTGCCCAGTGTGGGTTTGGGACTTGAGGGCAAGGGGCACTGTTTAGGCCTGTAGAAACTGCAGCCTTGAAATGAGAAGAGCAATGATGGGGAGAGGGTGTAAAGAAAAGAAAACTAGCTGTGAGGAAAGAGAAGAGAAAAGTAGGCTTAAACAGTGCATGAGGGTGACCTGCACGGTGGGGGCCTCTGACAGGTCCCTGGGCCGAGCCTGACCATGGACTCGTCCCTCTTCTTGCTCTCCCTCCTTGGTTAAGGCGATTCAGCATAAATGCCATTTCTTCAGAGGGGCTGTCGCTGGCTCTCCAATCTCGATTATGTGCCCTGTTGTTGTCTCATAGAACACTAATTCCTGCTACCACCTGTAATTCAACTTGTAACATTTATCTGTGCCAGTGTCTCTATGCTTACTGCTCCATGACGCTCTGAGTGCCCAGCACACAGCTGCCTCCTCGCACACACTCCCTAGTGATTTGTTAAATTAGTATCCATCCTAATCCGCACTCCATCCATGCCTATTTTCAATAGCTTTTTCAAAGATTCAGAACCTAGTTGATGGCAGCGCCCAGCCCAAGGACCTCAGCTCTGCATGCCTGCTTGTCCCCGCAAGGATGGCCTCTACTGTGCGGGGTAGGGTTTAGGGAGGGAGAAAGAATGATGTCAGGGAACGTGATCTAAGACCAGAGGAACATGTTTGCTTACCCAAAATACACTCCAGGGTAGGGAGGAGAGCGGTGGTTTTGTTTTTTGTTTTGGCTGGGGAAGATGGGAGGGAGAGGATGGGCGATGGGTGTCTGAGAGCCCTTCCTAGACTGACGGAGCCCGTCTTCTGCCCTCCGTGGACAGGACGCTGATTGCCCACACCAAAGACTTGGACCCCTCCCGGCCCGTGACCTTTGTGACCAACTCTAACTATGAAGCAGACCTGGGGGTGAGCCTGGAGGTCTCCACACCTCTCCTCCTCTCCTCTGCCTCTCCTCTAGTCCTGCCCTGATGCTTGCTCGAGTGAACTGCAGGGAAGAACCACGAGAGCCAGTCCAGCCATTTTCATAGATGGTCTTTAGATTCAAGATAACTACCTGCTTTTTTGCCAGGCAGTGTGGCTCCTAAATCCAAGGAGGCTGGGCACAGGGAGATTTAATCCATTCTCAGTTCAGACTCAATGTTTTATGCACCTCAGTTTAATTTTATGTGCCTCAGTTTAATAGGCTCATAAAATGGTAAAGGTTTAAGGGAGCTTAATGTCGTCATTGTCCAGTGTTTCTCACGCCTGGCTGATCATCAGAACCACTAAGGGAAGCTTTTTGAAAGTGCAGATCTCAATTCTGAGACTCTGACTTAGTAAGTACAGGGTGGGAATCTGACTTTTTAAAGAGCTCCTCAGTGGTTCCAGTTATCAACTAGCTTTGGGAACCACTGAGTAGATCCAGCCCCTTGGATGGAGAATGGAAGGGACAGGCTCACAGAGCCGCTGGACCACACGGCCTCCCTTGCCGTCCCTGGGCACAGCAGCCCCTCAGAAACTGTACTCATTTGCACTGAAGCTGTAAAACATGGAAGCGAGAAAATGCTTCCTCACTAGAGAACTGAAGGCCAGTACTTAAGAGGAAAAAGTGCTACAGAAAGAGAAATCATCTAAAGAAAGAATGAATGAGAAGACACTATATAGAAATCTAAATTGTGAACACTGTCATTTTAACATGAATGGGAAAGGATTGCAGCCTTGGTGTTCCTTCGCCATCTCTCGAGAACACCGCTTCAAAGAAGCGTAAAGACTGTGGTAACACACCAGCGTCCATAGGCACGGGCAGCCCTGGACCTTCTGGAGCTGAGTGGCAGCTCTTCCTGCTCTAGTCTTTAGTGTGGGCGGGAAGCCTGTGCCTGGCCTGCTCAGAAGGTTGCCAGACTCATCTGGTGGGATGTGTGATCTGTGTCCATGTGTCCACCCAAAGGCCCTCCCGCAATGTTCTCCTCCTCCTGCGTCTCTCCACCACAGTCTGGAAAGGGGCTGCAGTTGCTTGGGAAGACAGACCACCTCAGTCCCAGTGCAGGCTTTGGAGATGTGCATGGGTTCAGGTGACATTAGAGACTGGACAGTTGGGCTCTCTGGGCTTTGCTCCTCAGTCCTGAGCACCTCATTGTTTAGGCACGAGACAGTCACGCCCCATCATTTCGGCCTCCTCCTACGAGGGAATTTCCCAGCCACTTTCCGGCACTAGCTCACGAATGGCATAGTGAATCAAGATTCTTCATGTGGAGAAAAACTGCATCTGTCCCTCAGTTGGGAACATTTCTCCAGGGCCAGATGAGGGAAGACCAGGGACAGGAGTACCACCTAGGGAGGAACAGAATCCAATGGCATATGCCCTGGGCTTCCACTGAGGCCAGCTTGTCAGGCGCCTGCTCTGCCTCTCATGGCCCTCAACAGAGCCCAGCTCACCAGAGCGGCCAGGTCAGCAGCGTCAGCCCAGAGATACAGACTTGCTCCATTCTGGTCACTGCCTGACTTTCCTACATGTGTGAGCATCTAAATTTCTGCATCCCCTTCTTACCTTCTCTGCCAGAAGAGCCCCCCCCGAGTATGAGATCCTAACGCTATTATACGGTCTTCCGGTTTGTGAACAAGTTTTAATGCTGTTGTCCTAGGCGCCATATGTGGATGTCATCTGTGTGAATAGTTACTACTCCTGGTATCATGACTACGGGCACATGGAAGTGATTCAGCTGCAGCTGGCGACCCAGTTTGAGATGTGGTATAGGACCTATCAGAAGCCGATTATTCAGAGCGAGTATGGAGCAGAAACGATTGCAGGGTTTCACCAGGTAAGTAGTGTAATTTTAATTAATTAAATTAAATTCTGTTTAATTTTTCACTCTCTTGGACGGTGATGTCACTCATTGCTCCAAGTTGGAAATGTGCCTCCTTCTCTGTCCCTCACATCTCCCTGCAGTTCTTCAGACTCACCTCAGCCTGCCTCTCTGCACTCACAGCAGTCCAGACTCAGGCCTCTGCCTCCCTTGGTCCTCAGAGGCAGCCTCCTTCTTGGCTTTGTTTCCAGACAGTCTCCTACTGGCTGCCCAAGTCGTCTTTCTAACAAGTCCCGTCATTGGCTTCCCTGGGCCCACAGAACGAAGCTCTGATCCCTGGTCAGGGCAGTCATTGTCCTTTGCTCTCTGCCCTCTCCCAGGTCTTCTTCCTCCTGTGCCTCCACTCCCGGACACTGGAATCTCCATGTTAGCACCACAATTGCCAACTAATGGATTCTTTTTTTTTTTTTTTTTTTTTTTTTTTAAAGATTTTATTTATTCATTTTTTTCCCCCCAAAGCCCCAGTAGACAGTTGTATGTCATAGGTTCACATCCTTCTAGTTGCTGTACGTGGGACTCGGCCTCGCGTTGGACGGAGAAGTGGTGCCTTGGGGCGCGCCCGGGATCCGAACCCGGGCCGCCAGCATCAGAGCGCACGCACTTAACCGCTAAGCCACGGAGCCGGCCCCTAATGGATTCTTATTCAGTGTTCAAGTCTCAGCTTAGATGTGCCCTCTTTCGTGAGGTTTACCCCACCTGCTGCAGGCAGAGGAAACTGTTCCCTCTACTCGGTCTCTGTCTCAGCATTTCTCACTGTGTGCTGTCATTACAGCCACGTGTCGCTTAATGATGGGGATACGTTCTGAGAAATGCGTCATTCAGTGATTTTGTCACCGTGCAAACATCATAGAGTGTACTTACACAAACCTAGGTGGTTAGCCTACTACACATCTAGGCAATATGGTACTCATCTATGGGACCACCATTGTATATGTGGTCCATTATCGACTGAAATGTGGTTGTGCAGCACATGGTTGTATTTCTTTGGCTCTCTCCTTGACCAGGCTGTGGGCTCCAGGGGGGAGATCCTTTATCATTGCTTCCCAAGCACGCAGCAGTGTCTGGCACACAGCAGGTACCAAATAATATCTGTTGAGGGAATGAGTGAAATCTTGGAGCAAGGTTTAATCACTCATTATTTTGTCCATTTCCTCACCAAAGATATGCTGCTTTGTCTTGTGGGAATTTTTCTTCACACCATCCCCTTACCGCCACCCCAGCCACCTCACACTTTTCTGTCACAACTATTGGGATTCCTTGTTGACACACATTTCTTTTTTTTTTTTTTTTTTTAAA